CCCTGGTGCCAGGAGAAGGCAAACTAGGGGCAAATTGGGAAGGACCCTAAGAGATCACCGGTCTGGCGGGCAAGAGGGCTTACCACTTGGAGGATTTAGAGGGAAGAGCAATATCCCGGCCATGGAATGCGGCCAACTTGAAACTGTATTATTTTTAAGCTTTTACTTTCTTCTCTTGTGCAAAGAAATTTTTTGGCTTGTGCAAAGAAATTTTTTGGCTTGCACCACAGCATGTAATTCTTTTTGTCAATTTATAGAAGTAATTTTGCTTTAGCACTTGGACTGTTGTTTTAATGTTACGGACCGAGATGATTTACTCCGGTTGGAAGCGTTGGTGTCTCGTCCAACTTCGGATTCCCAACCGAGATGATATACTCCGGTTGGAAGCGTTGGTGTCTTGTCCAACTTCGCATTCCCAACCGAGATGATGTACTCCGGTTGGAAGAGTTGGTGTTTTGTCCAACTTCAGATTTCCAATCGAGATGATGTACTCCGGTTGGATGAGTTGGTGTCTTGTCCAACATCGGATGCCTAACCGAGATGATTTACTCCGGTTAGAAGAGTTGGTGTTTTGTTCAACTCCTGATTCCTAACCGAGATGACTTACTCCAGTTGGATGCGTTGATGCTTTGTCCAGCTTCGGATTACCAACCGAGATGATTTACTCCGGTTAGAAGAGTTGGTGTTTTGTTCAACTTTGTTATTTCCAACCGAGATGGTTATTTCGGTTGGTTATTTCGGTTTATGAATTTGTTGCTTTGTTCTGCTTAGACCTTCAACCGAGTTATGAATTCCGGTCGACGAGGTGTTTCGTTCAAACAATGGTTTATACCGAGATGTTTTGCTGAAGATAGATTGGATGACAACCATGCAAACATTTGGCAAAATTTGAATTTCTCATTGATCAGAAAATCACTACAAAAGGTGGGGACAGAGCCCGGTTACATCAAAAGCGTTCAAAGCAAAAATATAAAAGAGAAAAGAAAACTAAACTAGGGGAGAGAGATTGGTGAACTCGTCCTCGCCAGCATCGAGGTTGATGGTTGGACTTACGTCTTGGGCACCGAGCTCAGCATTACCGGGCTGCTCTTGCACCTCGGCCTCCTCTGCCTCGGAATCTGTCTCACCGTCTCCATCTTCAAGCCCTTCCTCGGCCTCAGCTTGCAAAGCGCTGAAAACGTCGTTTGCATAAGGCACGAGGTAGACCGGTAGCGAAGCTGGAGGGGGGTTGGAAAATACGTCAGTGTCAGATCCCTGGCCGAGGTGTTCGCAGGCGGACTTCCAGCCGGCCTTGAAGTAGATGTCTTGTGTTGCAAAGACTTGCTTTTTGTAGCTCTGCTCGGCCTCGTTAAAACCGGCGTTGTTGGCAGCCCGGCAAGCTTTCTTCTCTGACTTCTTCAGGGTGTCCACCTCGGTTTGGAGCTCATTTTGTTTTTTCTCGGCCGCATTCAGCTGACCGAGCAGTCTGTTATTATCAGCATTGGCCATCTCGAGGGAATCCTTAGCCCGGCCGAGCTCAGCTTGAAGGCTCTCGACCTGGCTGGCTGTGTCGTTGGCCTTTTGCCGAAGCCTGTGGATGCGCTCCAAGACGAGATGTTGTTTTTGAATGGCCTGCAAAAAAGCAAAGTTGATTAGAAGGGGGACCGAGCAGAAAGGGAACCGCGCAAACACTTGTGAAATTTTCAAAGGAACATCGACTTACCTTGGCCATAGACTTCACTGAAGATTTGACCAACCGGGTGTCGGGGACGTGGTCGCTGCCGACCACATCGCTCGGTAGTAGTAGGGCTTTGGATAGATCGAAGGCGAGCAGATGCTCTTTGTCAGCCTTGATCAAAGCCGTTGCCGGGATATCTTGACCACGGTGCTTCAAATGTGGACGCCAGGCCGGCACTGAGGCGGGGGCGTCAGCTGGATGCTCTGTGGTAAGCTCGGCGACTAGCTCGGCGGACGGGTCTGCCCGGGCTCTTTTACCGGCATGACGTGCAGAGGGTTCTCGGCTGGATTGCCCGGCCGATTGAGAGGCAAGGGCGACCACAGCGCCACTAGATTGACCGGCGGCGGGTGAGCGAGTTACGACGCTCGGCATCTCGGCGGATGTGGCAGTGAGCAGGTTTTTGATTCTGCTGCGCTTGGCCATTTCTTGTTCCTCGGTCAGACGAATAAGGGGAACGTCAGGAAGGGAAGGATCTGGAGGCGGCGAAGGAGCGCGGAGGAAGTCAGTTACTCTACTCCGGCGCGGAGCAGAATACCTGTAGGTCGGTGTGTAGCCGAGTAGATCGTTGCAATCTCGGTGGGGGTACCGAAGCACAGTCCGAATTGCTTCGACGTTGGGAAATTGATAGTTGGCTTGCAAGGCTTGGATTGCTGCAAAAGAAATAGGAAAACCGGTTAGTTACAAAATAAAGAGTTAAGCTAACCGAGCAAAATTGAGTAGCTTACATGAAGAACCGAAGCCCTTGTTTATAAACCAGCCCGGCACCTCGGCCGTTTCGTAATTGCCCGACACCCAGAAAAAATCGTCGTCGTGCAGATCTTTATCCGGGGTGCCGGTTACAATTTTTTCCTTGCCCGGTCTTATCTTCAAGTAATATGCAAGGCCGTCGCCGGTGTGGCCCATTGTGTATTGCCTCAATATCTCGGCTAGACCTAAGTTGGTACCTAGCCGATTGTTCAATTCGTGAACACCGTTGATAATTCTATAGGTATTGGTGGACACTTGTGTGGGTGCCAGCCCGGTGCGACGAAGGAACTCGGTGATAAGAGGGTTAAGCGGGAAACGGAGGCCCCCTTCGACAATTGAGAGCACGGTGAAGGGGCATTGGTCAAGTCTGCCCCAGGGTGTGGTCTCCTCTTCAGCCAGTTCGAGATGAACATCGGCCGGGATGCCGTAATCCTCTCTGAAAGCAGCTAGCGCGGCCGGAGTATCCACTAGGAAGCGGAATTTCCCCATTTGTGGCCGGCTTAGTGTATCCCGGCTGAGGGGTTTGGCACTGGTTATTGGATGCTGCTCGGTCCTAAGAGCCTCAGGAATGACAGTGGTCCCCTTGGACTCTGCAGGAAAAGGATGGTAAGTGTTAAGTGTGAGCGCGGTCGCGCAAAAGGAGCTGGATTTTAGCTCGGTCATTAAGATTTCCAAACCACCTCGGTTGTCTACTCTATCTAAGGAGCCCGGTCGCCCAAGTTGACCAGATGTTAGCCCGGTTGAGCGACCAAGTCCTTTTGTTATCTCGGTTTTTGCTGGGGTTGAGACAAACATGTTATTTGCTCGGTCAGATTGGTTTTTTGGATCAAAAGAAGACCAGGAGCCCGGTTCGCTCCAGTTCTTCAGTGTTCTTCAGGAAGAAGAAGAACACTAAGAATAGTGGGAGGCTTGGGACGGATTCTATGGCCTATGCCCTAAGAGCTACGTTTTTGTGCCCTAATGTGTGTAATATGAAAGAAAATAGCGACAAAATAAGGGTAGAATGACTTACCAGTGAAGGGCAGGACCTAATCCCTCAAACACGAAGAATGGCAGAAGAGGCCAAGTCAAGAATGCTAGAGCTCTGAGGTCGAATATCGAAGTGGCAGTAGGAGGAGTTGGAGTTTGAGAAGGGCATGTATGTATAGGCGAAGGAGACCGCCCAAATTCAAATTCTGGCAAAAACGTCAATCAGTGAGCGACTCAACAACCAAAACAAAGGCTCTGTGGTTTACGTAGCATTGGGGAGCGAAGTCATGCCGAGTCAAGAAGAAGTCACCGAGTTGGCTTTTGGGTTGGAGCTCTCTGGTGTGCCCTTTTTCTGGGCATTAAGGAAGCCGCCTGGTTGGAACAAGTCCGAATCTGTGGAGCTGCCCGATGGGTTCGAGGAGCGAACCAGAAGTCGAGGGGTAGTGTGGAAGAGTTGGGCGCCTCAACTGAAGATATTGGGACATGAATCAGTGGGAGGTTTCTTGACTCACTGTGGATGGAGTTCCGTGATAGAGGGACTCCAGTTTGGGAAACCACTTATTATGTTGCCGTTCATGGTAGACCAAGGTTTAAATGCAAGGGTACTCCATCCATGAGAAGAAGGTTGGGATTGACATACCGAGAGGTGAAAAGATGGCCACCTTAGTTTTCGGGGCCTTAAGGCAAAACAAAAATGGAGGTTTGTGAGGTCTATATTCACAAATAAGAAAAAAATCACTTTATTTCGTATCACTATCGTCGATTGATACCAAAATAGATATCAAAATGTATTCAAAAAAAAAAAAAAAGTTACCAAAATTAGGAAAACTTTAATCAATTAAAATGTATTGGATATGTGTTGAATTAATTGTTGTTTATTGAATATGTTGTTTATGAATGTGGTTGAATTGTTTATTAAATATGTTGTGTATGAATGTGATTGTGATTGAGATTGAATTAATTATTTATTCCACTAAAATCTAATAAACAAGAAAAGCAAAAAAAAAATTAGGACAAATTTATTTATTCCACTAAAATCTAATAAAGAAAGAAAATAAAAAAAAAATTAGGGGCCCTATTTTGGACCACTAACATTTTGTATGTGTATGTAGTGTTTCTCATTCCAGAGCGACCAACATTTTATAAATATTTTAATTTCAAATGGGTCAAACCATACTTATAAACAAATATGGGCTTAACATAATATTTTTGGGTCCTTTAGATTGGTCTTAAAACAACAAAGATAATTTAAGCCTATTTATATTTGTAATATATTATAATACTTTTCTAAATTTCAGGACCCTATTTTAGGCTAATTTTTTGTGACATAAGGCACAAGCCTCAATAGCCTTATCCCAAGGCCGGTTCTGGGTACTTTTAATATACAATAAGCATCCGTAAGCCAATGTTAAAATATTAATTTTCCTTCTATTAGGCACGCGACTTTGTTCCATTTTTCCAAATCCTTTCCTCACGCACAACAAGAAAAATTAGGACCGAGAATCCAGTGCATAAGATGCGAGATAATAAATCAGAAGAGGTATTTTCCAAGTAATTAAAAGATTACCTGTGTGGTGATGTGGTAGCAAATTCAACAAAACCAATGTTTGGACCTCCATACTTGAGAATTCTACCACCAGCCACACCAGTGTAAGGTCCTTCTCCCTTCAAGGCAAAAGCAAGAGACTCAGGTCCAGTGGCTGATGGAAGTTGGAGCCGGTAAAAAAAGGATGGGAATTCATTTGAAAGAACAATATGAGGGAATGAGAAACAAACTATGAAAAGTGAAAGCATGGTGGATATGATTGGTGCAAAGCTTGATTTGGCTTCCATGTTTGGAGTCAATGATCATATCACGAAATGAATCAAGCTAGCATTTATAGTTTAGAGAGAGGAAGGAAGATAGAAAACCAGATGTATACATATATACCATTGAATTTGTGTTTGGATGAAAAAAATTATTATTAAAAAAAAAAAAAGGTATCATATTTTAATTATCTTTTGGCTTTTTTATTTTTTTATTTTTATTTTTATTTTTTGTGTGTGTTAGACACACAGTCCAGCATTATTTTATGGCCCAGGCCAACAAAAAGCATGACAAATTTGCCCTTTTAACTCCGATAAGCACAAAAGGTGCATATAAGATGGAAGTTTCATGTGTCTCATGAGTTTATTACTGATTTCTTTTTTCTTCAAAAATCTAAAATTCAAATATAGCTCAAAATAACATGATAGCATCACAATTCTTAGCAAATGGAACTTGCAAACACGCACCTACACAATAAGGGTTTACTACAATGAAATGATCATCCATTAACATTTTTTGAAGAATGATCATTTTCTTACCATAGTGAATAATAATTCTACTTATAATATTTTTTTCATTTTATTTTTAGTGAACCAAATGTTAAAATGAATATTTTGACAAAATAATTATTGCATTTCATTTCATTCTAATGAACTAAATAAACCATAAATATCAAATTAATTTTGTTTAAAAAAAACATGGTAAAGTTGCACAATAAATGAATTCTTTTAATTAAAAAAATCAATACCAAGCCACAACATTGTATAGCAAAGGACACTTAAGCCACCAACTTTAGAGATATTATACACTATATCCTATACAAAAATGAAAGGCAGGCCATTTACGCTGAAATTAAGGAATTCCTAAAAAATTTCTTTTTTATAGTCTAGTCCTAAGAGTTAAACAGTAAACAATTGTGTGAGGATCATACCCACTAACCATGCAAGACAATTCTCAAAGTTAATGCATGACGTTTTAAAAAGGTAAAATTATGCTAGTAGTCTCAGTAATTTGTATTTTGTATTAACTTAATTATTATAATTTTTTTAAAATGTTATCAATTTCATATGATTTCAATAGGGGATTTTTTATTTTTTATTTTTTTGAAATCCCACAAAATCAAGTTCCATCTTAAATTTGATTAATTTAAAAAATATGGAAGGCAAGGGTATTTTATCCGGCCCAAAGTACGGCCCCAAAAGGCCTAACCAGGCCCGCTCAATTGACACCCAAAATCGTCCCAACACGCGAAACCATCTCTCTCTCTCTCTCTCAAACATTAAACCCTAGTAACCGAACCAGTAGAAGCACAGAGAAACCCTAGTCACCCTCTTCACAGACGGAGAGAGAGAGAGGGAGATGGGGGGAAGCGATAGCGAAGTAGAGAAGTCAGCGCAGAAGGAGAAGGAGAAGAAGAAGTTGTTAGCTCTGGCCCCCATTGCAAAGCCCCTTGCTGGCAAGAAGCTGTCCAAACGCACCTTCAAGCTCGTTCGCCGAGGTATATGTATATGTGTGTATATATATATGTAAATCCAATTTTGATGCAATTCTCTTGATATTTGTGAATAAATAGTTTTTAAGTAAAAAAAAAAAAAAAATAGGGAAAATTGCAAATCAGTGGTAGCTTCACAAAATATTTACAAATTTATGAAAAAGTTTATAGCTTTAATTATTATAGTAAAGTTTACCACTGATTTGCAATTTCCCTAAAGGAGAAAAAAAAAAGAAAAATAAAATAAAATGAAATGAGATATATTCAAGGTCCTTGTTTAATTTGATGTATTGAATATCAGCACTTTTTTGTTTTTTGTGTTTTTGAAATTACTTGGTGTTTGGTCCTTCAGCTGCAGGACACAAATGCCTGAAGAGAGGAGTTAAGGAGGTTGTTAAAAGTATTCGCCGCGGTCACAAAGGGTCAGTCACCTTAGATTTCTAGTTTTGTGTAGAAATTGTTAATGCTTAGATGTATTGTAATCAGCAAATTTGTTGCTTGCTGCAATCTAAAAAATAGTACTTTCTTAGCTTTTGACCATAATGGGAAAAAAAGAAGAAGGGTAATTTGAAAAACATGACTGCTAATGTGGATTGCTATTTGGAGATTCAGGGATTGGACCATTTTCTTCATAATTTTCTTGTTGATTTTGTGGGTTTCATTGATGTAGTTTTGTGAGATGGACTTGTGGTTTTATTCTTCTTTATATTTATATATTTTTTGCATTTTTAATGGCTCTTTTTTTTGGAAAAAAATAATGACTTTGGGGGCATGGTTACTAGGAAAGGGACAACGAAGGTGAAAGGACATATTTTGGATGGGCAGTAAAAATAGATTAAAGTGTTGCCTACATAGAGTGGGTGGCAATGGCAATTGGTGAGATATAATGAAAAGTTAAAGGGTAAATATTGTGGGTGGTTAAAGGAGCCAGAGGGCCATGGCAACTAATCATTACAGTTTAAACAATACAAGAGAAAATCTTAGTTTGTTTGGTCTGTGTTATGTTTTATGTTTTTATGTTTTTTTTAAAAAAAATCCATAAAACATAAAATGGAAACTTGCTATGTGGTTGTTTCCATTGTTAAATCTTCCAAGACAAAGGGTGAAAGTCGCAACATGAAAAAAGTGTATTGACTTGTTTTCGAAAAAAATTGGGAACACTGATGAACGTCCATTAAAAACTTGAACCCTTTTTCAGTTTGAATTGTGTTAGCGACAAAGAAGGACACCTTCTCTTTCTTTCTTTTTTTTCACATTCAAAAACCTCTCTTCCTTTATCTCTTGAACATGGAACTCCAACTTCTTTTTTTTTTATAATCCATGTTATCTTTGTAAATGCAGATTATGTGTTATAGCAGGGAACATATCTCCTATCGATGTCATCACTCACGTTCCAATCTTATGTGAAGAGGCTGAAATTCCCTATATATACGTGTCATCAAAAGAAGTAAGTTCCACCCATTTATACCATATGTCTTCTAGTTTCTATTCCCACACTAAGGATGATAAGCATTTTGTATTCCTTTTTATATATCTTGTTTTCTGTCTTCATGTAGTATGGTCTAAGGATGGGTTTGGACATTCCATGGAAGAGAAATTGTCCTGCAGTAATTTACTCTGGATTTTGAAACTAGTCTTTTCATTCTTCCCAACATATCCAATTAGTATAATACCATAATCATTTTGGTGTTCTTTTAAGATGATGCCATTTTATTATTATTATTTTTAATCTGATTACTTCTGGGTATGACTATTGTCTGTCTTCATTTTAGAGGGTAGGTTATGTACATGCTGAAATAAAGCTAGTGTCTTTCCACTAGAGGATAAATTTCTCTGATCTGTCTTACATCCAGTTAATCCCATTGGAATCAAACTATATCTACATCATAGTATCTTTGAGTATTTTGGAATTTTGACTGTTTGATATTTTATTTGGATTTGAAGATATAATGCACAAGGACTTGAGTTACATCTGGTTCATCTTAGTGACCTGCTATTTACGTTTTACCTATCAGTATAATGTATATCCTACAAATGTCAGCATCTAAATTACCGTTTATTTATTTCAATTCATTTATTTTCCCCTCAAGTGATGAAATGATGATATGGTTTGCTTTTTATGATGGGTGAATTACACTAACGGTCCCTATAGTTTAGGACTTGTGTCATTTTAGTTCCTGACTTTTCAATTGTGACACATTTGATCCTGAATTTTGAATATTATTCTAAATAAGGACAATCAATGATACCATTGGATTTTTCAAGGGCAAAAATGTCAATTTGAAAAAATATAAACTAATTTAACAAAAATAAATTTCAAAAAAATATTTTTGAATTTTTAAAAATTATTTTTACCCACTAAAGGTAAAATTAATAAATATTTTAGACATTTATTTATTTATTTTTACTAAATTAATTTTTATTATATGTTTGGATGATAATCATGTAATGGTGGTTGTTTTTGTTTTCATTAAATTAGTTTTTATTTTTTCAAAAGTCAAGCATGACAACAATTTGATATCATTATTAAACCATTCCATTAAATTTAAAAATTCAAAACTAAAAACATTTCATATATTAAATATAGCGATTATCCATTACATGATCATCATCCAAACGTATAATAAAAATTAATTTGGTTAAATAAATAAATGTTTAAAAGATTTATCAATTTTACATAATTTTATCTTTGGTGAGTAGAAATAATTTTAAAAATTTTAAAATATTTTTTTGACATTTATTTTTATCAAATTAGTTTATATTTATCAAATTGACAATTTTGCCTTTGAAATTAAATAATGGTATCTTCAATTGTTCTTATTTGGAACAAGATTTAAAATTTATGATCAAATGTGTCACAATTAAAAAGTCAGATACCAAAGTGACATGAGTTTCAAACTATAGGAACTATTAGTATAATTTACCTTTCTATGATTAGTTGCCATGGCAACTAATCAATACACTTTGCAAAATGAACGTGCGTGCACTATTTCTGTTTTATTTAGATTGAGAAATATTTGTTATTCGGTTCATTTTGCAAAGTGCACGCACGTTCACTGTTTGGACTTTAAGAACGATCGTACAATTGGAATAAAAATAAAAATAAAAATAAAAATAAAATAAAAAAACCTCATTTTCTTGTGCCATTGAAGAATTGAGTGCTAAAATCATAATAAAAATATTTTGCTTTTTTGTTCAGGATCTTGCAAATGCCGGAGCCCACTAAGAGGCCAACATGCTGTGTACTAGTGCTAACGAAGCCAACCAAGGGGGAACTTACCCAGGAGGAACAAGAAAAGCTTAAGTCAGAATATGATCAAGTTGCATCAGAAGTTTCTGAACTTGCTTCCTCTATGTTTTGAAGAACAACTAAAAGAACTAGCCTTTTGTTTCCCATTTACTGATGTATACTGTATTTGGCTGGTATATCCGTGTCATATTTATATATGTTTTGAAGCTAAGCAGCAGGAAGTGCAGTTCCTTTTTGTTTTCATTTTTGTGTCGTGGATGATGTGAGTGAAACCTGGCCATTACACAAAAAAGTTAAAAAATAAAATAATTGTTCTGTTAGAGTTCCTCTCAGGTGGGGTTTTGGTTTTGCCACATCCCTATTCTCAATTCTCAACCCCCAACATAGGCATATGAAGGACAGCCATCTACCGACAATGCTTGCTTCGAATCAAAATTTGTTTTCTCGTTTTGGCCAAAATTTTTGGATCCCATTTATGTACTTATAAAACCAGGGCTTCTGGAGGATCACTGGTTGTCTATCGATAATGCTGAAGGTCATTTATGTAAAATCAGGAGGATCACTGGTTGTCAATTCCCATCAACATCCCCTACAGTCATCAACGAAACTGATGTATAAATAAAGTCTATCTAAAGATCTTATTTCATAACTATACAAATTTCTCACAGATTAAATAATTTCCCCATTCTATAGATTACATTTTGTATACAAAGTCCTTTTAAACTCAAAGAGTTCTGTGGCATTGCAAGAAATTGTTAAAGGAGTTGGCACGATCATAATGACAACAGCAATAAAGAGTATTCCAGTGTGCTGCAAAATGGGATTTCTAGCAAGGAAATCATTTTTGGGATGACGAAGTCCTGAGCAAAAAAATGCCGAGGCCACCAATGGCCAAAGTTAGAATTAAAGGAAGTGCAATCAATTCAACATCTGTTGTTCTGCTTGTCACATCTGTTCTTTCTTCAAGCGACCTCTCTCGCCGGTACTACTGTTTGATATTTTATTTGGATTTGAAGATATAATGCACAAGGACTTGAGTAACCTTTTAAAAAGATTTTAGATAAATTGCATGTATATTATATAATTTACAAGTATAATTTTAATCTGGTTCATCTTAGTGACCTGCTATTTACGTTTTACCTATTGGTATAATGTATATCCTACAAAATGTCAGCATCTAAATGACCGTTTATTTATTTCAATTCATTTATTTTCCTCTCAAGTGATGAAATAATGATATGGTTTGCTTTCTATGCTCGATGATCACTATTTCTGTTTTATTTAGATTGAGAAATTTTTGTTATTCTGTTCATTTTGCAAAGTGCACATGTTTTCACTGTTTGGACTTTAAGAATGATTTTACAAGTGGAATAAAAAAAAAAAAAACCTCATTTTGTCGTACCATTGAAGAATTGAGGGCTAAAATCATAATAAAATCTTTTGCTTTTTGTTCAGGATCTTGCAAATGCCGGAGCCACCAAGAGGCCAACATGCTGTGTACTAGTGCTAACAAAGCCAACCAAGGGGGAACTTACCCAGGAGGAACAAGAAAAGCTTAAGTCAGAATATGATCCAGTTGCATCAGAAGTTTCTGAACTTGCTTCCTCTATGTTTTGAAGAACTACTAAAAGAACTAGCCTTTTATTTCCCATTTACTGATGTACACTGTATTTGGCTGGTATACCCATGTCATATTTATATATGTTTTGAAGCCAAGCAGCAGAAAGTGCATTTCCTTTCTGTTTTCATTTGTGTTGTGGATGATGTGAGTGACACCTCGACATTACGAAAAAAATAAAAAATTGTTCCATTAGGGTTCCTCTCAGGTGGGGTTTTTGTTTTGCCACCTCCCTAATCTCAATTCTCAACCCCCAACATAGGCATATGAAGGGCAGCCATCCATTGACAATGCTTTTACTTCAAGGCAAAAATTGTTTTCTTGTTTTGGCCAAAGTTTTCGAATCCCATTTATATACTTATAAAACCAGGGCTTCCGTTATGCTGAAGATCATTTATGTAAAATCAGGAGGATCACTGGTTGTCAATTCCCATCAACATCCCCTACAGTCATCAAAGAAACTGATGTATGTATAAAATCTATCTAAAGATCTTATTTCATAACTATACAAATTTCTCACACATTAAATAATTTCCCCATTCTATATATTACATTTTGTATACAAATTCCTTTTAAACTCAAAGAGTTCTGTGGCATTGCAAGAAATTGTTAAAGGAGTTGGCACGATCATAATGACAACAGTGATAAAGAGTATTCCAGTGTGCTGCAAAATGGGATTTCTAGCAAGGAAATCATTTTTGAGATGACAGAGTCCTGAGCAAAAAAATGCCGAGGCCACCAATGGCCAAAGTTAGAATTAAAGGAAGTGCGATCGATTCAACATCTGTTGTTCTGCTTGTCACATCTGTTCTTTCTTCAAGCAACCTTTCTCGCCGGTACTCATGTAAAAGGTTGCTCAGATTGTCCAATTGATGCATGATTTGACGCTGACCCCTTGCAACAAGTAATACCTGCTCAGGAAATGGTTAAGCAATCAGATAAAAAACTTAAGGGAAAAAAAAGGAACAGAAATTGGAAAATGCGTGAAGTTTATATTAGAAATCTATGGTCCGAATTAACATTTTCACTAGAACATGACAATTACAAGTATAATGCCTCAAGTCGAGCTCCAAATTTTACTAAAGCTGGATATGCAATTGAAATTTGAGTAAAACTCGAATAAATGTGTAACTAACACACTAAAAAGGTTAAACTATAATTACATATACAATTTTACATCGTGGAGTTAGTTAAACTAACTACGAATTCTAAATACGAGTCACATCTTTTTCTTATTTTCATATAGCCAAGAGTGAAGAAGGAAATGAAATTCATTGCAGTACCTCTTCCATCAGTGGAGACTCCTTTACCAACTGAGAAGAAGATGAGGAAGTGGGTATCATCGTACCAGTGAATGAACCGTTTAAACCAGCCATGAAGAGAGGAGTTGGGGCACAGCCATTGCAGGATTCAGCCTGCAAAGCCAAATTTTGTTGGCTAGCAGAAACTTTCCTGACGGCGAACTTTGTATTTAGTTCTTCAACACGTGATGTAAACTCGTCCATTCTCTCATTCAGAGTAGAAATTTGTTCCGAGAGTTGGGTAATGATTCCCTGAAACAATCAGAAGAAAAATCAATACATTTGAGAAATGAAAACCAAAAAAAAAAGACTTTTAAGAGTGTGGAGTGGCTAAGATCCAAAGAAACACCGATTTGAGGAGTAGTAGATACTTCAAGTTGGCAAATCCAACCCACATCGGAGACCAATATGATAGCCATTGAGGTTCCATGTGCTTCAAAGTAAAATATTTTATTGTGAAACTTTTATCTGTAAAAAAAATTTTGTTTCCTTTTATGTTTTGGTGTTTGGGTGCAACTAGAAAATATTGCAATCACAGTGCCATGGCTGGGTCAGTGCTCAAAATGAGGTAGATTCAACAAGATTGTTTTTTTTTTTCAAAGAAAATTGTTAAAGATGACCAACAGCCAATTGTACAAAATATTGACAGCAGAGCTTGACCAGAGTGCAGTCCATGGCACTGCACATGTTGTGGGTCACATTCAGTAAATGACTTGCGGAAACAAAATCAGCAAGTCATTTTTGGTGAATTTCGGGTAAAACATTATACTTAAAAAAATATTTTACCCCATTATAAGTAACCAAACATTATTAAACAAATTTATAATAATAAAAAATAAAATAAAAAAAATTGTATGTTTTACATCCAAACAAACAGAGCCTAAAACAAATAGGTTATCAAGACATAGATAAACCCACCTGGTTAGCAAGTGATGCTGGTGAATCTGGGGTTCTTCCGTCATATCTTCTGTTATTAACAGCAAGCTTCGTCAACTTGGAAATATTCTTCTCTCGTAGTGTTGAATATGAGTGTGAAATACCACTGCCAAAAGGACACCACAATGATTATGTTTTGATAATTGATGACAAAAGATTTGCTACAACCAGATTTTGAACAACCGCTTCTCACAGCTTAAGCCAGTTTGCTCTTTGCAACAAAATTAAGGGAGTACCGGTTGAGATACTTCATTCTTCTATCTGCAGAGGCTCGGGAGAGAGCTTCTTTGGGGCTTGAAGCCAAATCATCATCTATGCTGAGCTTTGTCTTCAGATCATCTGGCAATGCCTGTGGGTTGAATTGTTTAGGACAAAGCATAATTAAGAAAGTGCATATTCAGTCAAAAAGAGCCGTACCATAACATCATTTATGAGCTTCTCCAGTTGAATTTGTTCTATGTATGTGCGAGGAACATAAGATCCATCTAAGCCGAGCTGCTCTGCAATAAATTTCACACACAAACGATCTTTTCCTTGCACCTACAAAGATTTGAAACATGATTCGTTTTGCATGGTTCAACAGAATGCCAAAACCCACAGTTTCAGTAGAGAATTGACGTTCAATAAAGAATAGAAAAAGGAATAATGCAACTGTCTGTTTTTCTTAATGTACAAAACATTTTCTGTGAAAACTTTTCGGGAGTTCTGCTTTCTCCTCATGGCTCACACTATTTTGATGGATGTGAAGTATCATCAAGCCTTCAGACTTCAGGTATTAAAAAAATCCCACACTTATGTGTAGTGAAATTCAAACCAGTTTTGAATAAATTCGATACCTGAACATACTTCCGATTAAGTTGTTCTAACCAATCGGTTTTCACACATACTCTGTCATCAGAAAAGACATGGCTGCTTCTTTTCAAAATGGTTGCTATTGTATACCCTAAAGCCATCAGTCCACCAAGAAGACGCACACTAACTTCAAAAGTGATTCTTGGCGATATGATGAATGGACTATCTGTAACCCATTCCTGAAAGCAACAAGTAAAATTGGTCAGGACTTGGGAGAAATAAAGTTTTATTCTAGTTCTAATCATTGCTGCATATCAACACATTTTCCGGAATAAATTATTTTTTTTAAAAAAAGCATAAACATTAACGCTACATTTGATTCGGCGGAAAACATTTTCTACCAAAAAAAAATGCAGAAAATGTTTTCTCAGGTTTGGTTGCAACCTATACTAGTGGTTGTGTTGGTGGTGGTGGGGTTTAGACGATGAGGCGATGGTGGGGTAGTTGGGAGGTGGCGGATGGGGAGGTAGTGGATTGTGGTGGTGGCGGCAGCGCAATAATGTGATAGCATTGGTAAGAGTTTAGTCCAGAGAACGTTTCTGCATTTCAAAAGTGGTAAACATTTTCTGCATAACAAGCTTTGTTTTTCATTGACTATGAAAAATGTTTTCTGTTTACTTTAGTTTTCCATCGTACCAAATGCCAAGAAGAAAATGTTTTCTACCAAAACAAATGAACGCTAGTTAAATCATGCCAACACTTCTTAGCTGGCACTAAAGCACATAATCACTTCAATCCTATATCTGATACATTAATTGCACAATTAATTTTCTTTATTAAATATTGTGGAAGGAACTATACAATTATACTGTTGTGAATTTTTACAGCCCATGCAGACGTACACTCATTAGCCTCAACTCCCTCCAGTGTTAAACCCTTCATGTCTACATGGATGCATTGTCCAAGTAAGAACCAGGGTGATGTAGAACAAGTGAGAACACTCTCTTACATGGGGTGATAAAACAATGGGGTTGTGGATTGAACATGAAAAGATGGGATTTTTGGAGCTGTTTCAGGGTTGTTTGGGCATTGTGAATAATACCTATTAAAAATAACGTAGGTTTGTTATGTGTTCTTGCAGGCACTAGGGTTGAGTAAATTGGGGTTGTGAAACAGGATAAGATTCCTAGGTTGGAAAAGGGCTTCAAAAAATCCAATTCTGGAGTGTTGTTAGCTAAAAATGCATAAATTAGAAAATAAAAAATATAACACAAAGAAGAAGAAAAAATTTTAGGCTGTGCTTGGTGTAACTCTGGAATCCTAGGTGTAGCTCTGGAATCCTAGTTCCACCCTTATACGCAAAGCTTCTGTTTGGATGGAATTTTCAAAAACTGATTCTAACCTCATATTTCACAACACATTTAATAGAGATCCTCCCAGTCAATTTTCAAAAATTTTGGGTCTACCCAATCGTCCCCTCGAACGTCCGGCCAACTGACCAAAACAGTTTTTTTTTTTGGAACTGGCACCTGTTATCTGGAAAAAAAGAAAATAATAATAATAATAATAATTATTATTATTATTATTATCCAGTCATCCTCTCGGATGTCCGGCCAATTGACCAGAACAGTGATTTTTTTTTTTTAAAAAAAAATTGGCACCTGTTATTTGGGAAAAAAAAAAAATGAGAATTTTGTTTTTGATTTTTTTTAACAAAAACAATATATTTTTTAATATTTAAATCAAAAATATTTAAAAAAATAATTCCAACCAAATATACAATCAAAAATTATTTTAAAACAGTAATTGAATATTTATTTTGAATTTTTTTTATTTTGTTTGTAATATTTTCAATTATTTTCAATTAAAAAAAAAAATTATGACATTCTTTTTAATAATTATTTTTTTGAATTAAATTTTAAAAAGAGTTTGGTTATGAGTTTTGAATAAAATTTTCAATAGAGTTTTCAGTTGTGTATTTGGTTATGAGTTACAAGTTTTTAAATTAAGTTTTAAAAACTCTCTTCAAAACTCAATATTTTTTTTAACAAATAATAATATATTTCTTTTAATATTTTAAATAAAAAATATTTTTTAAATTTTTTAAATAAAAAATTTTATTTTTTTTAATAATTATTTTTTTGAATTGAATTTTAAAAAGAGTTTGGTTATGAGTTTTGAATAGAATTTTCAATAGAGTTTTCAGTTGTGTGTTTGGTTATGAGTTACAAGTTTTTAAATTAAGTTTTGAAAACTCTCTTCAAAACTCATAACCCAACAGCTTTTCTGATTTCATATGTCACATCAAAAATTCAAAACTCTTTTCAAAACTCATAACCAAACAAATTTTCTATTTTCAAATCATAATTCTAAAACTCTACCAAACACTATCTTAGTCATCGCGTCTACATTCCATAGGTATCAAAGCTAGAATCAAAATTGAATCACACAATCCACACAAGGGCTTCAAAAGCTTCACTAGCTTTATATAGACTTCAAGATCTCCTAATCCAACTAGGACTTGGATGCCTAAATGGGAAATTAGACCTTGGACTTCTAAAAACTATCTAAACCCAAACAAGATGCATATTTAAAAACCAATTATATAGCTTGACTCATAATATGATTCATGTCTAGAATACTGTAAAATTATCAAAATATCCCAAACTCTTTAAACTTAATAAAAAATTAGTAAAAACTGGATGCAGCAAGCTAGACATGACAAAACCCCTATTGACACTAAAGCTTAACCACCCAAGGTCCCAAATGGGACCCGACTTGAAGTCAACCACTTTCCAATTTTTGCCACCTTTTGTATTTACTTTTTCTTGAACTCTTTATGGCCAAGGTCTTTCAAACTCACAGTCATGGCTATGACAGTTGAACATCTATGTTAAAATATCCAATTAGTAGCAAAATGAGAGACAGAGAGACAGAGAGAGAGAAATTTCTAGCCACATAAAGAAGTGGTGAGAACATTTTAACTAAAAGCCAACATAGAAATAACAAACAAAAGGAAGTGATTTTGTGTAGCATACTTAATCATTGGCTCTTCCTAAATTAATAGGTAGATATAGTTCTTTTTTTTTAAATTATGTGTGGAAAAAACAATGCATGGAAGTTAATGTAAGTTGTTCATCACTATACTTGAATGGGTTATGAGTTGCTTTTGCAGTTTTCTTTAATCTTGAGCATATGATTAAGGCCAAGGTAATGGTTACGGAAGGGGGAACAAAAACCAGGAAAGTACCCTCCCTTCCATATTTTAAGTAAGATTTTAGTCGATCTCCATGAATATTTTTGTTTCTACTAATTAACAGTTGATATTGACTGGTCGTGTCTATAAGACCCTAAATGCTGTTTACAATTTGCATCAATATTTGAGGTTAATTAGCCAAACACAATTACTATTCCAATATAGAAGCATAGGTTCTCAATGGTCAAACCTCAAACATAAGATTGTATTTGCCATCCCTGTTCCTCATCCTCAGATAAGATTGGCATGCTTCAGGATCTTCACCAGGTGGAAGAAGGTATATATCATAAGTTTCCTCTGTGGTTTCCTTGTAATCTTCAGAAAGAACGGCCTTGATTTGCTCCACAGTCACAGGCCTCGTTGACTACAGTAATAGAAAGCACTCATTCAATGCTAGATGTAGAACAGTAAAAGACAAAACTGTTAGACCAGGCACTAAGGATACAACCTGGGATTCTCAATTTAGACAGTAATTGAATGTCAAACCTTTAAAATATAAGTGGGATTCTGAAATCCACTGAACGGATTGAATTTGTTGACGATTTTTATATGAGCAGTCTGAAGATCTGGCTCAATAAAAGCCTTGTACATCGGATATACCTGTGTGAAAGGATGTTGATGAGAACTACTGAGGCAATTCAGTCAAAGTATTTTAAAGAAATTTCTGAAAATTGTAGAAGTCAAGAAACCGTTTCAGAGATTTGTTGAATTATTTCTTCAGGCTCTTGTCCAGCACGTTGAATGTCCCTTAGAACCCGCTTGACTAGGTCAAAGTGTACTCCACCAGTAACAGAAACACGAAGATCTAGCAAAGGCCGTAATCTTTCACTCAAAGCATATATGCCTTCAACAATCACAATGCGGGAATTAGGGACTTCCATTGTCCTGTAGAAATATGAATTTGGTTCCAGTATATGAGTAGAAAACAAACAATTGAAACCTTTGTTGAAAATTTAAAAAATGTACATATATATAACATATTAACATAGCACATGACAGAAGTAGCAACACATGAGATTTTATGTATGAACGCATGAGGACGATAAACACCAGCCCAGAAATTACGAAGTCTTCCCAAAGTGAATGCATGTACATGCTAAATACAAACACATAGTAAATAACTGACATAATTCAAAAGGGGGAAAAAACAAAGAATAGGAAAGAGGGCAGATAAATCAGATAATAATTATTCAAAGGTAAATGCTGGGTTCACTAAACATTTGAAATAAAAGACCAAAAATTAGCTCAACTTTCTGTGCCTGTTGCTTCTGTTATTCAAAGGTAAATGCTGAGTTCACTAAACATTTGCAATCAAAGACCATAGAAGCAACAGCTTATTTATGTACGCTTAATAATCAACATAGTTTCTATACTTGTACTCTTCATATGACCAGCCACAGAAAGTTGAGCTGGCGAGACGCCAACACCCATCCATCGAAAACAATTATGTTCTCTCATCTTTATGGTGGGTTTGAACACAAAAAGAAATATGCTTTATGAAATATGCTTCATTAACACACACACACATGTACTCCCATACCACCCACCCAAAAAAATAAATAAATAAGACAAAAAGGGAGTAAATTCCAGCTTTATGAAACGGAGAGATTCCCAACCTGTAACCAATCCGAGAGCTGGACTTAAAATCATATATAGGAACCTGAACAGGCTTCCCTTCTTTTAAACCATGGATATTCTCAAGCATTGTGTCATAATCCGCCAATCGTGGGTCTATTTCAAACATGCAAACCATTAGAGTTCTGAAAGTGCTCATTTATCTTTCAAACATTTGTGTGTGATGAAACAGTTCATAATCTATCTGAAAATAATACAAATAGCAAAGCATACTCGATTATGACTTTGAGGGAAACTACAAGAAGGTAAACTGCATAATATATGTAATTGTAAAAGATGATAGGCACATGATCATGCACATCACTTTGCAAGCCAATTGCATTTTATTATTCAAATGTAGATAAGAGTCTCATTAAGTCAACTAATGTTTCCAATTCTTACGTACATGAGTCATTGGCCAAATCTACTAAGTTGGAAAGGCCATTTAAGGCATGATCAAAATTACAATGGCAGATTCTTGTTTGCAGTCAAATCCCATATCATCCACACTGATAGTCCTCTCTATAAGCCAATAACCTTTTGAACTTATCCTCCCCCCCTCAATTGTGAGCCTAAAGTTCATTTACTGACCTGCAAATTGTGCTTAAACACATGAATTCGGCTTGTTAGTGGGTTTGTCCAATTACTATAAACATGTAGATTGTGCTTCCATTCTTCACTTCTTTTTTTGTTTAAGTTGGCTCAAAGTTATGTTTGTGACAATGATTCTAACACACAAGAAAACTAACAAATTTATTGCTCATGTCCTAAATATGTTCTCTCTCTTTTGGGGTTTATTTTTTTTGTTGGATGTTATTAAGAAAAGAATTTAATGTTACCTCCAAAATATTACACTGAAAGGCATCCCACATTCCAACAAGAGATGAAATTTCATTCTCATTGAACTCAAATGCCTCTGCACAATAAATTGAGTAAGACACAGGTGAGAAGACCTGCCCATGGAGTTAAGAAGGTGGGACAGGAATCAAGTGATTCACACAAATGTGGAGAAACTTTGACCCCTTTTCATTTAGCGGTTGCTCATACAGAAAGGAAGATCAAGCGAGGTGTATCCCTCTGTAATTTTTTCAGCATTGGATTGGTTCTTAGAAAGATTGCTGGGCCTTTAGGCATTACTAATGACGTATATAGGGTTTTTCTCAACCTGGGTCAAAAATCTTATTCCGAATCAGATAAGAAATCACCAATCAGTCATAATATCAGATTGGAACGAATCACCTGTCCTGCTTAACAGATCACATTAGATGATTCCGGATCTGATCAGAATCCTATTCGTTACAGGCCTGATTAAGCTTATCCACTTACTACTCAATAATTCACTCAACTGCAAAACAATAAAGCTTCTATACAATAAAAAAACAGACTTACTGACGACAAAGCCTTGTCAAATCCACTACTTTCTTGATTTGTACTTTCATTCTGATAGACTAACTATAGAAGTAATTGAATTTCCTATACAAAATATAGAAGTAATTAAATTTAAAGCTCAATTAAAAAGAATTTTGGTTCCCATGAAAAGAAGTGTGGAACTGACATAATTCAGTCACAATGCTTTCTAAAGATTACAATTACATGGTATGATTGGATAGAGTAAGCCCTAATGGAATAACATTTAGCCACCTGTATAACATATCTGGAATCAATATATCAAATCCAAATTACTTACAAGGAATAGGACATGTAATAACTTGCTTTTCTTCATACTTATTTTTATGATTCTATTTATTTCATGACAATTGCCTGAATTACTAGTTACATAACAAAGCAAATTTCAACTTTTTGAAGGAGTAGTAATAGTTGTTGCCTATGGACTTCCCTTTAATATTCATCAATTTTCAGAAACATAATATGCAGGAAGTCTACATACGTCATAAAAAACTAAAAATGTTTCAACGTATTAAAGATGAATTCTGAGATGATGCATTTCCTTACAGATTCAAGAATCAACAATTTAAAGGACATGAACGCTAACAAATCCTCACTAATCAGCCAGAAGAACTTCTAAGATAAACGTAAAAGCCAGTAATGATTTTACCATCAAAGTTGCCATCAATAATACGGCTAGAATCATTGTAGTTGTCCATTGTTATGACGGCAATGCTGGGCATAAAGTTGAGCAACTTCTCCGTAAAGACAGTCTTTCCGGCCCCAGAGGGACCTGCAACTCCAACTAAAATTATCCCCTCGTTCTTTTGAGCCAACAACTGGCATGCACGGATTACTATGAAGAAACCCTTCTCAAATGAAAGAGGATCTTGGATCGGAACAACCTCATACCGATCAGAGTCCTTTCTTTTAACCAACTGAACTTGATCCCTTAATAGGCCAGACCGCCGCCTAGGTGATTCGATATTGGACACAGTATCTTGAGCCATTAAGTTGTGTTTATGCTATTTCTCTATGCTGCAAAAAAATAAAATAAAATAAAATAAGAAAAGGAATTACCGAACCCTGATTTTAAATTGTGATTTGTAGAAATAAGAATCAAATCAAAGAATAATGGCAAAACTCCAAACTTTCAAAGGATGTAGTTAAAGAATTTTGTAATCGCCATATGAGAAACAATTTGTAAAGAATTTTGGTACTCTTTTCAACAAACAAAAACTCTCTTTAGGTTTGGAGGCAAAGCATGAAATGTTAGTGTTAGGACTAGCCATAGGTTGGCAATTTCATGACTAGTACGTGCAAATCTAGGTAGAATCCAAGCCACTACCATGAGAAGATCGCATTGTACTACTTATGACAACTTGAAAGGTTGAAGTGTTATGGGAGATCTTCATCATCATAGAAGAAGTACTATGAAAGAGCTTCCGGCATGAAAAATGCTTTGAACAAGAAGAGAACCAAGTTATGACAAGCAAAGGCCATAAAAGCCTAAGTTTGTCAGCTTGGTCAACTATGTTGTAGAGCTTGGTCAATCATAATAAGGTCCAGAGAGTAGGTTTAGTCAATCTCATAGCATGGTTAACCATCCTGATGATTGTGGTTGACCATGGTGAAAGTCTTGAGAACCTAAAAAGTTCATACCACGGTATGGTCGACTATCCTAACGGATGTGATCAAACATGATTCCTATTGATCGACCACGAAGACTAATGATAAACCACACCTACAAATTTTTTGAAAAATAATAGTTGTTAACTAGTCATTGAAGGGCTATGGCTATATATACCAAATGCCTCCATTTGGTATTTCTATATGAGAAAAAGCTATTAGAGTAATATACTCTCTACACTCTTTACATCAAATCTCAAAGAAGCCAACACCCTTGTTTGAGTAGGCATGAGCATGAAGGACCTTCCTTGCACCTTTTGATGGAGAGCTTGCTCCTTGTGGAGCCTTGGATTTCTCATTTTGAAGGTATAATTTCCCATCCTATCCTTGTAAGACTTTATTGTATGTATACTATTGCCATAACACGTAGAAACACCCTTGTAGCTGCAGGTGAGCTACCATGTAAAGTGTTTTTAGATTTGTATTTTTGTGGTGGTTGGTTTTGGGTTAAGCCAAGAAAAACTTATTATTTGTATTTATGTATTTGTTGTATAGGTTGAAGGTGATCCTAGGAAAACCTTTTGAAGTTGTAAAGGTTTTAAGTTAACCTAGAGAAAAACCAATTTGGTTTAGTCGATTACGCTGGCAATGAACGCCTGGAGTGAATGTAGGCACAAGGAGTATGTCAAACCCAACCACTATAAATCTTTTTGTTCATCATTTTTACATTTCTTGCACTTCTATTTTATTTAATTTGAAATAATGTGATGAATGTTTATGAAGTGATAAATCACGATATAATTGTCCAATCAACATTATAAGGAATTCTTTGTTAACATCAAATAATATTTGAAGTTGGACAATTACGAAATGTTCAAAATATTAAGTGACACATGGCCTACAACCTAATAAAATTTCAACTGAACATAACATAATAAATTGAATAACAGGAGGGCAGCTATGTGCATCAAATTGAAGTGTAGGGATGCAGCCGGGTTTGGTTGAAGATCAAGCTTGGTAAATTAGCCACATATGGAGGGTGGCAACCTGACCTTATGGGAGAGAATTTTTGTTTGAAGGATGAGAGTAGCGGTGCCTACACTTCTATTTTGGAGTAATGGATTCATCTGAGTTAATAGAGAAATTTAATCAACAGGAAATAGATGTGGCGATGTCTTAGAGACCCAATGAAAAAAAAGGCATTTGGCTATAAAGAAGCTCAAATCCAAGTACAAGTGGCAGAAGTGTTTGGATATTTTGAAATTTCATTGCGACATGCGTCCTGACCCTTCAAAGCTGTTTAACATCATGGCTCCCCATTAGGTAGGCAACACAGTATAACTGTCTTGTAGCCACCAATTCACAGCCTCAAGTACCTAAACCGAATCTTTGACTCACAGCTATTCTAGGACTTGGCGTTACAAGTTGGCCAAAAAAAAAAAAAGTAATCTTTTGACTGACCTAGTAGCTCACAAGATATCACTCAATTAAATGCATTTTCTGTCATTACTTATTATACTAATAACGTGAAATCTGGCGTTTACTGCATGGCTTTAAGGACTATAATGATCATGGTATTACTAAATTGGAAGAAGGACAATCTAATATCATAGAAATATGTCAGTAGGAACTAGGAAGTCATCTTTAGCTATAACACAAGATTATATGACACTTAAAACCTCAAACTGATAACACATATACATGTAACCATTTTTTAATTTTTTGTATTTTAATTTGTACTAAATTCCAGCTCTCTTAGCTGGAAAACTTCTTCTTGGGCAACAAAGAAAAGTATAGCAGTGCACGGATTGAACCCTTAGGCGCAATTCTCTTGCAGAGAAAGGGAACAAAAAACTACAAAATAAAATTTTATTCTAAACCTATGATGTTTCATTAATATGGAGATGAAAACAGAAAGTTCACTACCTAACCAAACCTGTTAAAAAACATGACTATGTCGAAACCTCAAACACAATCATGTGACATATACATATATATATATATATATATAACAATATCAAAGAAAAACACTGCAAATAAAAGTGAATTATTGAAAAAGCATGTTGAGAATTAGAAAAATACAATTAAATAAAAACCAAAACATTACTCACACAAACTCTAGTACTGACCAATCACATGCACTGAGTAAACGATGATAGCAATAGCAATAACTACGGACACATTTCAACTGGGAAGTCAATTCAACAAAAAAATCAAACACAGAATAATGATCTTAAAATTAATAATTAACCAGAAAAACATATTCACAGTGTACAGTTATCCATAAAAACAAGTTCAGCAATTTCAATCATGCGAAATCTAATCACTGCAATGCATTTTCAAAAATTCAACTAGAAAATAAATTCAACAAACAAATAAACACCCAAAATAATTCAAAATTAATAAGTACCCAGAAAAATATATTCACAAACGACTATTATAGAAAGGTATTCAGCATTTTCAATCTGCTTGTAATAAGTCAGTCCAAAGTCGGAAAAATACCCATAAATTAAATTTAAAAAATAAAATATTTTCCTACCACAAATCTCAGTCAACAAACCTTGACTCGAACACTCAGTCTGCCCAGCCCACCTCTACTCCTGTTTTTTAGGATTTTCTAGAGAAAGAGGTCAAAAGTAACAATTACCCAGAAAAATATACACAAAAACAAAAATACCCATAAAAACAAATTATAAAAATAAAAAACAAAAACAAAATTTCTACAAAAATTAGTAGGGGAAAGCACCATAACATAACACCAATATATATATGTAATTATCACTGTGAAATATAGGGTATGGGGCTCTGCACCTCTAAGCTGTTTGTGCTCGAACCCAGAATTTTCTTCTCTGGGAAAATTGAGATTGGTTGGTGCTTTCTCGGGAATTGAAAGGAGAGTATGGAGATTCTTCTGTCAGTGGGTTTTGCACGAACACCAGAGAGGATAAGCGAGTGATGTTTTTGTCTTTGGGCCGGCGTGAAGGATAAGCGAGTGATGTTTTTGTGTTTGTGCCGGCGTGAAGTTTCGGCAAAGACTCCCGTCTTGATTTTTTTTTAACATTTTTCTTTTATGTTAATTAAAAATAAAATCCCCTTATTAGCTTCAACATTTTGACTGTCACTAATAAATTAAAAATCCTATAATAAATATGTACCTCTCGAGGAGATTTTTTTTAAAGGTACCTACTATTAAAATTTTATAACAAAAAAAATATTTAATATTTGGGCAAATTACATATACACCCCTCGAGGTTTGGCTAAATTACAAATACCCCCTGAGGTTTGAGAAATTACAAATTCCCCCCTGAATGCTATATTTGCATAAGAAATTAGGGGGTAATTTGTTATGAAATATAAACCTCAGGGGGTAAATTGTTATGAAAATACAAACCTCAGGGGGCGGGATGTAATTTCCGAAACCTCAGGGGTATCTGTAATTTAACCAAACCTCGAGGGGTGTATATGTAATTTGCCCTTAATATTTTTATAATGTTTAAAGTCTTTCGATATCGATTTAAAAAAAATTCGATCTAGAGAATTTTCTGTTTAGATAAATTCTGTCAATTACTCTGAATCTCCCAAAGAATTTCTCAAAGAAAATTTACACAGCGGCCAAAATTTCAGAAAATTTCCAAAGAAAATGAGTTGGCCAAAAAGTGGCTTTGAGTCCCAATTCTACATCATTTCCCATATATTTTCAATTTTGATTGAATCAATTTTGCAACCTGAACTTTACGATCCTAATCAATTGCTAGTAGTGAAACCTTTTCAGATGCTTCCACCATTTTGGGTAGGATTTTTGCTAGTAATTTATAAAGCGAGTATTCATCATCCAAGCCGTTCTTAAAAGATACGACTGTCAGCCCCTGGTTACAAGCAGGAATTCGGTTGAGCACCTCGTAATATCTCTTGGTATAAGCCTTGAGGCTTTCACCATCGCTACTGTTTAAAGCCAGCAGAGAGTCTACCCTTAGTGGCTAACAAACTTGGCTACAAACATCTCGGCCAAGCCATCCCAACCTTCATAATTCTTTTCAGCAACTTATGAAACCAATCAGATGCTATCTCTCCAAAGGATGTGGGGAATACCTTGCACAACAACTACTCATCCCCGCTCCACAAAGCCATTGAATTTAAAATACAAGCCGACATGAAAGTTTGGGTCTGACTTACCATCATATAGCTGGAACCTCGGCATATAAAATCTCTCTGGAGCCTCAAAAATGTCTAACTCCACCGACAATGGCATCATCGGCTTGACAAGAGAGGTGATCTCGGCGTTCATTTGCTTTCTCTGGAGGTAGTCCCTCAGATCCTCCTTCGATCTATCCAGAGCTCGGCTATCAACAGATTTCAGTCACTGTAGCGCACTGCTCCCAATGTAATTATGCATCCGTTTCGACTTCTCTTCATCTACTGCATCAAAACAAAGGCTCTTTTCCTAGATATGCTGAGGTTTTTTGACATAGGTCCCCTTGATTCGTGGTGTCTTCTGCGACTCACCTCTCACTGACTCCACTCACCGACATCCCGTGACAACTGATGTGAATGTTCCTTTTCCTTGCCGTGTTGCTGGACTACTGGGATTGCTTTTTGCCCTCCTTTCTAGGTATCAGTCTTGGTTGCTGGTATCGGCGTGTCCTGCAACCGGAATGGCAGTTGAATCACGTTGTTCTGTATCATGAAGTTGACAACTAACTACAGGTCTGCCAACTTGTTTTCTATCTCTTTCATCTCGTCGTCCCTCCTCTGGCATCTATCCTTCCATGTCTGGAGGTCATTTTCATTGTAATACTCATCTCGCCCACGCTTCTTCGGGGCGTTATCCTCTTTGTCGACATCCTTCTCTCCAAGATTCGGATCATGTGCTCCTTTATTACGGTTTTCCTCCCCGACGTTAGGGTCTACATGCTCACCACTTTCACTATGGATGTCGTCCCCAATCTTTTCTTCCTGCCCATTGTTGGCCATCTATTCTCCTTAAGTTCCCATAGACGGCGCTAAATTGTAGATGTTGATTTTCGACCACACAACCAAAAGGGGAACTCAGTTGGAGAGCACTAGCAGAATAGATTAAGCCCAACAACCTGCAACAAAAATACGAGAATTTCGCGGTGATTCGTCCACCTGGGGGCACTCCGACGATCAAGTCAGTGAACAATATCTCTCACAGATAACAAATAGTGCTTAAACTCACAAGAAAGAACTTACCTCAGACCCACAAGGGTGCCTTACTTTTATAACTAGCAGTGACTTGATCCCTTTAAATGCCTCACTTCAATGGACTCAGGCTCAATGCTCATCCTAGACCCTCAGTTAGATAGAGATAAACTCTTGAGCTTTATCCTTCTCCAGACTGAGATCCTCCCTATTCTAGGACTCTTGTACCTTATCTACTTATCTCGGATTTTGGTATCTCCACAGGTAACCTCGACCCAGCCAAGATCATCTCGACAGCATGACCAGGCCACGTGGTACCTCGACTGACACTTCGATGTCACCTTAGCCACGTGCTTTCATTTACAAAATACTTCCCCACAATAAGCCAACAGTTTCACTTTCTTTTTTTCTCTCATTTTCTTTCTCAGTCTCTCTCGTTTTCTTACTCTTTCTTTTTTATTTGATCTATTCCACTATTTGTTTGATTGCATTTAGTGACTCTATTTGTTACAACCCAAACCCGCCCCCAAGGGTTTAGCATCGTAACCGGCCAGTAATCCGTGATTACTAAAGGCCTGCTTAACAGGAATGACAATAATACAGTATAAAGAGGCTGGCGGAAGCCAATCAGTAATAAAAAGATGTCCAATGAGCTGTGAAAACCTGAATGGAAAAAGACTACCATGAACCAAACCACATTCATAGCCATATACCAAATATACATGTACAAAGTAACATACGGGTTGAGGCCCTAATCCCCTCATCATGACTGTACAGTCCAACGTCTTAAACATTCATTACATTGGCAGGGACAGAAAGGGTGAATTCGAAACACCCCAAAAATGGCCTTGGCTCAAGCAAACTCAGAACCTCAAAGTGAGGCACAATGGTTGGCTTGACAAAACATGAGCTTAACTCGACGCTTCTAGCTTGGGTCTGGTGCCTGGCCACCTACATACATATATAAACTGTGAGCTAAAGCCCAGTGAATAACAAATGTGTAAAGAGTTTTAGAATGAATGCCCTTTCAGTATTTGAAACAATCATATACATCAGTAGATCAGTCATTGAATCAGTGACTCATAATTCATGTAATATCAGTCATTTAGAAATCATGAAATTCATACATGGTACATTCAATAGCAAAATATACACTAGGTCTTAATAAACCGAACAGTCAGTTGATGGCCATCGATACAGTAAACAGTAGTAGTTCCAAACATTGAAACTGACAGAGATCTCTGTAACAGTAGCAGTAACAGTAACATACAGTAGCAGTAACAGTAACAGTAACAGTAATAGTAACAGTCAGTTGCTATGGATGTCACGAATACAGTTCATAAAATAGGGTAGACATTCATTCGGTAAACAATGTCACTTCATAATACAGTACAGTCATTTGTTCAAAAATAATTATAATTGAACATATCTTTACAACATTATTACTCACAGATTACTGGGCTAAGGCAGGCTAATCAGCGTCCTTGGTGCCAAACCTACATAGATGCAGAACGAACACACACTAAATTACACACTCGGGATTAATAACTTAGCTCATATCTTGCTTTGGTGTGGTTCTATATCATTATCCTCATTATGAAGCCTTAAACATGGCCTAGGAATGCCTAGGATGGGATGAGGATGCAAAAATGTACAAAAAAATATTTTTCAAAACATTGCTAAAAATAAGGGTCTCGCTCGAGCGTAAACTTCTTCGCTCGAGTGAGATTTCTGAATGAGAGAGGTCGCTCGAGCGTAGATTCCCTCGCTCGAGCGATCTGCAAAAATGTGAAAAGTACTGGTTACTGAAATTCTTTGCTCGATGCTCGCTCGAGCGTGAGACACAGTTCTTCGCTCGAGCGTAGGTCTTGTCGCTCGAGCATGCGTCCGCACACGCAAAAACTTGAGAGCTTGCAATTTACGCTTGAGCCAGCATTCTGTCGCTCGAGCAGAAGTCTGAAAGAAAAGGTGGTCGCTTGAGCGTGGAATTCCTCGCTCGAGCGAGGAAGCCGAATTCTGGTTTTTCCAGATTTGCTCCTAAATTTCAAACCATGAATCAAACATGTCAAAATTCATCCTTTTGGGCCAAATTTTTTGAAAAATACGTTGAAACTCATAATACAACATGTTTTGAAGATCATTTTACAAAATCAAAGCCCAAAAGTATGCCAATTGAACACAAATTTCAACTTGAAATAAAGGAATATAATGTAATTATGCCATGCATGCCTTTGTTTGAATTCAAGGCCCCCAACACATGGTCTCATGAGACATTCCTCCCAAAAACATGATGAATCCTTAGATTACAACTATAATATGAACATGCATGTGTGAATTCCATGAAAACAACTTCAAATTTCTTGATATGATCATGCATGCATGAATTAACTTATCTTCCTTAAATTCTAGCTCAATTCTCCCATTAATTCACCTATTTAATTCATATACAAGTCCTAGATGGCTCAATAACAAGATTAAAAGGTTGAGCTCTTACCTAGGCTTCTCGATCAAGCTTCACCTAAGCCAAAACCTTAAGTAATGTAGACAAATCTTCAAAATTTTCTTCAATTCTTCTAAATTTCAAGCAAAACTCTTGTTGAATTCAATTTCCCTCAAGTCTCTCCCTCTCTTACGTGTGTGTACAAGGAGGAGGCCAAAGATAATGTGTCAAACATATATGAAGTGTAATAAGAGTTGATCTTGTACTAACCCACTCAATGGCAAAAATGTAGATAACATATATTCAATTAATTTAGCATTATTTATTCTAAATTAATCATTCCCAATTGAATTTTAATTAAACCTACCATAAAATTTTATAATTCCTAATTAGCATATTACACAAGTCAATTTCTGAATCGGTCGCTGATAAGGCTTTCAATTCGTAAACTGAAATCAAAACAT